TACATAAACAAAATTATCGATCGACTGAGTTTGTGTGTACTCTTGTTGTTGTTCTTGCGTTCGCTGAAGTTTTTGAAGTTTGAGGTACCGCTACTTTTTTAACAGGTTAATCCGTTTTATCTTGGGAGGAATTAATCTGCAACCTCGGGTACAGTGAGAGAATTAAATTTCTTAAGAAAACACAGTGGTTTCTGTGGACTCAGATTAAAAATCATTCTGTCTATTTCATCTTTTTTTGTTTTTGTATTTTTTACTAACCTGGATACAGGAGATAACATAAATAACAAGCTAAATTGGAGTCTTGCTTTTCCCTTTAATATTTGGAATATATGGCTATCTAGAAACCACAGTTATCATAACAATACTAGAGAAGAATTTGGCATTACTCGTGTTGAATTACAATCAATTAAATGGAACAATTCCTCCTCCGCTTTCTCAGCTTCCTAATTTGTTAGAGATTTACTTAGATCGCAACAAACTCACCGGAACAATACCGGAATTGTTTGTGAAATTTGAAGGACCAAATGTACCAGACCTGTACCTTTCCCATAACAGCCTAACAGGAAAAGTGCCAACTTCTTTAGGTGATTTGAATTTTTCCAGGCATGATTTCTCAAGGAATATGCTTGAAGGAGATGTTTCGTTTCTGTTTGATATTTCGAAATCGGAGTTTATTGAGAGCTTAATATCATTGGATTTGAATCATAATCGAATTTTTGGTAGCTTAAGCTTACCACAAGGATTGAAAGATGTACCGTTACAGTCTTTCAATGTAAGTTATAATAGACTTTGTGGACAGATTCCACAAGGTGGAACCTTGCAGAGCTTTGATGTTTACTCTTATTTGCATAACAAATGCCTCTGTGGCTCTCCCTTGCCGGACTGTAAGTAGATATGGAGGTCGAGGATTTGGATAGCTAAATGTTGTGGAAGACGCATGAAGCTAGCCTCCCCTATATATTCCTAATCATATTTGGGAATCACATATTTTCAGTGTGTATTTGTATTTGTTGCTTAATTAGCTTTATATCCTTGTAATATGTGTCGAGGGTCTATTGAATATAGTCTTTCTATCAATAAAGGTAGGGATAAAATATGTCCTCTCCAGATTCCACTAATGAAATTTCACGGATTATGTTGTTGATCAATATTTCTATCCTTGATTCATGTCTTATCTTTTCTTTTGTCAAGTTGCTTTTCGGGATGAAATATGTCCTCTTCATATTCCACGGATTATGTTGTTGATCAATATTACTACCCTTGATTCATTTTTTATCTTTTCTTTTGTCAAGTTGCAATATTTGAAAGCAAATTAAATTGGGCATATAGTTACAAACTTTGAAGTTAGTTAGTCAATTTTGAATCTTGCAAGAGTCAAGTGAGATAAAGTCAAAAGTGTATATATAATTATAAAACAAGAGTGCATATAAACAGAGTTGAACCAAAGGCAAATAGATGGTGCAAATTGAGATGCATTTCAGTATGGTCGTGCTTTTTGTTTTCATTTGAGGAGTTCTGAATACAAAGTTCGTGCTAAAGTTGATGAATTTTTCAATACAAATACATAATTTTTGCTAAAGTTACAGGAAATCCTCATGACCTAAATTTTCCCTTGCTCGCACACTGTGGAGCAGTAGCAAGATAAGATGAAGGAACTGGTTCTTCATTGAGAAATTATTTTCACAACTTACATTGATCTTTATCGATGTTAGTAAGCTCTAGAGCTCGAAAACAATACTCCGGTAGTTCATATTAGAGTTACCAATCCTAACACTTGAACAATAACTAACATCAAATGCAGCCTCAACAATTCTACTATTCTAGGAAAGCCTGACCTATCATCCCATAATTTAAATCATATTTATCTGGTTGTTGTGGTTGGATCTCTTGCACTCGTTCAAAATGCGGAGAAAGTTAAGCACGACTTATATGCTTGAATGACAAACAACCAGTTTAGATATTCACGATCAAAAGGTATACAATAGCAAGTTGTCACGAGAATGTCATTACAAAACAAAGTAATGATATGCAACTACAACTTTGTGTCATTAAATTTATGATTGATATAATTGAGAAAACATTCCAAATGAAGTGGGACACGAGTTTTGTTGTTTGGGCTTAACTTATTAAACGTTGATTAGTAACATTGTTACAAACAAGTTATGGCCCATTCAACTTATTCGAGCTTTCAATAATACCATAGTTTCATTTACGTAAAAATGATCTCCTATGATCATTTACAAATCGAATCGAAATAACCTTTTTATATCTTGTACATGTAAAAAAAAGACATTTTATAAATGACTACATGGATAAATCTCTCCTAATTAACAACATTAAAGCACATAAATACAACTTACACCGTCAAATTTTCAAGCAATTTTATCTTCTATTATTTTTTGACAGTACATATTGATTTATTATTTGGAATATATGGGTATCTAGAAACCACAATAATTATCGTAACAATACTAGAGAAGAATTTGACATTACAATCAATTAACTGGAACAATTCCTCCTTTGCTTTCTCAGCTTCCTAATTTGTTAGCGATTTACTTAGATCGCAACAATATAGTTTTTTTCATGCAATATAGTTTTCGAAATTATGAAGAAGAAACAATAGAGTAAAAAGCTCGTCTCTTTTTCAGACGTAAAAATATGATGAAAAAACAGATTAGGGCTTGGAATGGAAGGAATTTTATGATATTTGGATTTTTAATTGCATGCATTATTGTAATACTTATCAACCTTAAGGTAGCTAAGTCTAAACCTGAATTTGAACCTGAACCTGTATCTGAATCTGGAAAGAAGTTGATAGAACAAATATTAAGAGAGGCGAATTCCCTGCCAAAAAAAAAAACAATGTCGATTCCAACTCAAAATTGTCACTTTGCTACATCGCAAGGAAGGTCATACCAGGAGGATCGAGTAACATGTGACCTAAATTTTACGATTCCTCTGTTTGGTAATGTTTAATTTGCTTGAATTTATAATATGCATACATATACCATGCACCTCCAAACACACACTTGTTGTATGAGCTTTGACATATTAGACTATGATGTAGGGCGTGGCAACGACATTGAAGAGGTGAGGGTTGGGGCTGTGGCAGCAGTATTTGATGGTCATATTGGATATTCCTCTGCTAGTTTAATGGCCTAAAGGATATTTTTGGATAAGTTTATGGTTAACCTCAATAACAACAGTATTGAACAATTTTTCTTACTTGAAGGAAATACTAAAATCTTCTTTAGTAACAACCATTACTGATATTGATGCAGAATTCACCAAGGCAAGGCCAAAACTTGTGATATTTTTTTCTTTTTTTTTAATGACTTGGTTGTTCACATTCTTTAGGTTGCTTTCGAATATCATCTTTATGCGGGTTCTACTGCTGTTGTTTCCCTCATATATAACAATCATGTTTTAGTTGCAAATGTTGGTGATTCAAAGGCTTTTCTTTGATCGGAATCCTTTTTGCTTTACATCGCGCGCAGTTCACTCATCAAGATGGCCGGTAAGGAACATTGTGATGTCTAGACTTTAATTTGGTTCTCCTGCAAAGTTACATAATGTATGTAAACTCTTCTTTGTTTTTGTTAGCATATGTTAAATCCTTAAATTGTAGTCAATTACTCTATGCACCTCCATTATTTTTGCAACTTTGAGTAAACATTAACTAAATATTAATAATGACCTACTCATTTTTTTTAGGATAAGGTGAGATTAGAGAAAATATATATGTAAGCCGTGGTTATGAGTGATTGAGAATTTTGATAAATACTCCATCTCCCCTCTTTCTTTTGTAATATATATTTTATATATATATAAATTATTACATGTTTTAGATCTTAGACTGATATATGTTTACCCATTTATCTATTGAATATGTTAACTATTGACGTTTCTTTTCTAAAATTATTGAGTAGCCGATGAATATGTATACCTATTATTAGACATTTAATTTGTACTTAAACTTTTCTTCCTTCCTTTGATCAAAAGATAGCTGGAGAATGAATGGAAAGGTGCAACAATACATGGTTGTACAAATAAGGCATGATCATTTCATCATCTTCTAAATTAATATACACGGGTCACACACGTACACTAAATTAGTATCCAAAATAAACGTGAATATTGGACTTTAACCTTGATCCTAAGTTATTTAGTTGCTAAAATCCATCTTTAATATGACCAAGATGATAAATAGGTCCAACAACCTCAACAATATATGAAGTATCCTCAAATAAAAAGTCATATTGTTTTTGAATAGAAATAAAAATATTTTCTTTTGCACTTGTAAAGAAATACATGAAGTATCTCAAGTAACGTTCGAGCCCTGAGTATGGAGAAAATCTTGTTGGGAGCGCCATCCCCGAATGGGTCCTGCAGTGTGCGATCCAGATTTAGTCGGGAGCTCTAATGTGGGCTCCGATATCCGAACATCGGGTGGGAAACCAATAAAAAAAAATCTCAAGTAACGTTAATGCGAATGTTCTGCTTACTTTTTCCTTTCCAGATATGGCGTCATAGATGATCCATATATGAGTTTTTGGTGGTGGCATCCAGACAGGCCTTACGCAGCGAAGGTGTCATCTTAAATCAATCAAAATATAAACAAAAAATCTTTTTTATTGTGCAATTTTGACTACGCAAATAATTTTCTATTCATTTTTCATCGGCTTATTGAGATAAAAATATATTCTTACTAAAATAATAAGAATTTATAAACCTTTTCCGTATAAAATTATTTTATTTCATCATCAAATTAATCAAAATATCTATAAGAATAACCCTAGAGCATTATTAAATGAATGAAATTTCATTCAAGATCTTTTTCTTTGAAGTTTGAATTTCAAAAGTCAACGCATTTTATATATTGTTGTCACAACTGTATACACACCGTGTGATGTGAGTGAAGCAGTTTTTCTTGACCAAAAATCCATAGTGCTAAAATATGACTTTTTTTCTTTGTTTTATTATAAATACCAATGAGTTGATAATATAAGATTGTTCATAAACAAAAAAAAATGAATATGAACTTGTCACTTCTTGTAGTTATTTTTCTTTGCTTTGCTTCTCCTTCACTATCAGTAAGATGCAATCCAAAAGACAAAAAAGTCCTTTTACAGATAAAGGAAGATTTGGGCAATCCTTACCATTTAGCTTCATGGGATCCAAACACAGATTGTTGTTACTGGTACGTCGTAAAATGTGACCGGAAAACCAACCGGATAAATGCTCTCACTGTCTTCCAAGCCAATATCTCCGGTCAAATTCCGGCGGCCGTAGGAGACCTTCCGTATCTCGAGACATTGCAATTCCATCATATCACCAATCTCACCGGAACAATTCAACCTGCAATTGCTAAGCTCACAAATCTCAAAATGTTAAGGCTCAGCTTCACTAATCTTACAGGTCCAATCCCTGAATTCCTTAGTCAGCTGAAGAATTTGACATTGCTCGAGTTGAATTACAATCAATTAACCGGAACAATCCCTTCTTCGCTCTCTCAGCTTCCGAATTTGTTAGCGATTCAGTTAGATCGTAACAAACTCACCGGAACAATACCGGAATCGTTTGGGAGATTTATAGGACCAAACATACCAGATCTGTACCTTTCACATAACAGCTTGACCGGAAAAGTGCCGACTTCTTTAGGTGATTTGAATTTTTCCAGGCTTGATTTCTCCAGGAATAAGCTTGAAGGAGATGTTTCGTTTTTGTTTGGGAAGAATAAGACGAGTCAGATAATTGATTTATCGAGGAATTCATTGGAGTTTGATATTTCGAAATCGGAGTTTGCTGAGAGCTTGATATCATTGGATTTGAATCATAATCGAATTTTCGGTAGCTTACCACAAGGATTGAAAGATGTACCGTTACAGTCTTTCAATGTAAGTTATAATAGACTTTGTGGACAGATTCCACAAGGTGGAACGTTGCAGAGCTTTGATGTTTACTCTTATTTGCATAACAAATGCCTCTGTGGCTCTCCCTTGCCGGACTGTAAGTAGATATGGAGGTCGGGGATTTGGATAGCCGAATGTTGTGGGAGACGCATGAAGCTAGCCTTCAGTGTGTATTTGTATTTGTTGCTTAATTAGCTTTGTATCCTTGTAATATGTGTGTCGAGGGTCTATTGAATATAGTTTTTCTATCAATAAAAGTAGGGGATAAATTATGTCCTCTCTGGATTTCACTAATGAAATTTCATGGATTATGTTGTTGATCAATATTACTACCCTTGATTCATTTCTTATCTTTTCTTTTGTCAAGTTGCAATATTTGAAAGCAAATTAAATTGGGCATATACTTGCAAACTTTGAACTTAGTCAATTTTGAATCTTGCAAGAGTCAAGTGAGATAAAGTCAAAAGTGTATATATAATTATAAAACAAGAGTGCATATAAACAGAGTTGAACCAAAGGCTAATAGATGGTGCAAATTGAGATGCATTTCAGTATGGTCGTGTTTTTTGTTTTCATTTGAGGAGTTCTGAATACAAAGTTCGTGCTAAAGTTGATGAATTTTTCAATACAAATACAGAATCTGTGCTAAAGTTACTGAGTTTCAGGAAATCCTCATGACCTAAATTCGCCCTTGCTCGCACACTGTGGAGCAGTAGCAAGATAAGATGAAGGAACTGGTTCTTCATTGAGAAATTATTTTCACAACTTACATTGATCTTTATCGATGTTAGTAAGCTCTAGAGCTCGAAATCAATACCCAGGTAGTTTATATTAGAGTTACCAATCCTAACACTTGAACAATAACTAACATCAAATGCAGCCTCAACAATTTTACTATTCTAGGAAAGCCTGACCTATCATCCCATAATTTAAATCATATTTATCTGGTTGTTGTGGTTGGATCTCTTGCACTGTTCAAAATGCGGAGAAAGTTGAGCACAACTTATGTGCTTGAATGACAAACAACCAATTCAGATATTCATGATCAAAAGGTATACAATAGCAAATTGTCACGGAGAATGTCATTACAAAACAAAGTAATGATATGCAACTACAACTTTGTGTCATTAAATTTATGATTGATATAATTGAGAAAACATTCCAAATGAAGTGGGACACAAGTTTTGTTGTTTGGGCTTAACTTATTAAACGTCGATTAGTAACATTGTTACAAACAAGTTATGGCCCATTCAACTTATTCGAGCTTTCAATAATACCATAGTTTCATTTACGTAGAAATGATCTCGTATGATCATTTACAAATCGAATCGAAATGACTTTTTAGATCTTGTCCATGTAAAAAAGAAAAAGACATCTTATAAAATGACTACATGAATATATCTCTCCTAATTAACAACATTGAAGCACATAAATAAAACTTACACCGTCGAATTTTCAAGCAATTTTATCTTCTATTATTTTTTGACAATACATATTGATTTATTTTTACAAATATAAAGTATCATTTTTGTCATTGTATATGAAAAATGAAAAAATGCATTTAAGACCAAATGCCAAGTTGACGATTTATAACCTATAGTTATTGTGTACTAGTGTTAGGCCAATTTCGGTCGGCCCATTAAAGAAAAAGAAAAGTCTAGTACGAAAATAGCTACAATATATTTAATGTGATTAGGGGTGTGCACTATTCGGATTAAACTGAATAATCAAACCAAATCAAACCGAATTTTTATTTGGATTGGTTTTTTGGTTTTTCGGATTGGTTTTGGATTAATAAATTACTTTGTTTGGTTTTTTGGTTTGGTTTCGGATTTTAAAAAATAAAAACCGAAAGAAACTGAATTATATATATAATGTTTAGGTTTAGAATTAAGTTGGAGTTAACCACTTGTGTCCCTTTTTGGTTATTGTCTTTCATGATGATTACGTTTATATTTTATGTTTGAATTACATCTATAATAGTTATACTTATAAGTATTGTGTTTTAAGTTTTACTTATGATTTATATTAGAAAGAATATTTAAGGGATTAAATATTATTACTTTGGTTATATATGTTATTAATTATTGACATAACCGAATAATCAAACCGAAAAAAGCTGAACCAAATAGAGGAAAACCAAACCAAACCAAATTTATTTTGGATCGGATTCGGTTACACTTTTACAAAACCAAAAACCGAAAATCCAAACCGAATAGTGTAAAACCAAACCGAAAAACCGAATGCACACCCCTAGATTCTAACAAAAAACAATCAACAAGTTTATCTTTCGTTTGAGAAATATAGCTCCTTAGCGCATATATTTAGGGCCCGTTTGGCCATGCGATATGGTAACATGATATGGAATTGAAGTTTTGTTTGGACATGCGATATTAAATTTTTGTGTTGTATATTTTCTCATAAACATAAAAATCCCATAAGTTGTAAAACTATTAAAATAACTCCAATTATTTATTCAATCTTATCAAATAAACAAGAAATTATAAAATCGCATAATAAATTATTACAAAACTATTTGTTCTCCACTTAAGAAATTGTTTCATCTAACTTTAATTTAATAAAAAAATTGAATATAAATTGTAGTGTACTAGTCTTTAATATAATCCTCCCATATAGTACAAACAATTTCCTCACGTTGAACTTGCATTTCTTGATCATGTGACCGAGAAGACGAACCAACATTGTTACTTTGAGCCATTTGTTGGTCAATATCATCCGCAACTATATTTTCATGCTCATAGACCATAAATATTTCATCACTTTAACAATCGGTTGGTGTGAGTTAAAAATGATTATATGTTGGTGAGAATAATAAATTTTAAAAAGTAATGATGTGATTATAAATTGTATTTACATATAAAATAAATGGTTAGTACTTAGTAGATATAAATGTGGGGTTGTTTTAACAAAATATAAACTTGTAGATCAATTTTTGTATTAAAATATCTCAAATCATGATATGAAATTACCATATAATTCTGTATCATGATTTTTGAAGAATATGGAATCACATCTCATGAGATGGAATCAACGTAAAATCGCATGTCCAAACACTGATTCCATCTCACGATACCATATCGTGATATAGTATCGCATGGCCAAACGCCTACTTAGAGATTCTATGATTTGATATATATTAGAATAAAAAGAATTAGGAATTAGAAGGAAAATAAAAACTCTATAATAATTGATAGAACCAAGAATAAAATAAAAATTGGCATATTGTAATTTATTGTCATTTTAGGAATGAATTGTAATAATTTCACTTTTCTACGCACACCACCTACCCCACCCTAAATAGCATGTGATAAATATTTACTTTAACTTATGTACCAATGTTTGATGGACCAATAAATTATAAAAAATTGTGAGCTAATAAATCATTTTAAAGTTATGATTGAAGATTAGTAGAGTAGTATAACATTGTTTAATTTTCCTTATCACTATTAACTTTTTAATATTTTATTTTCAATTTTAGTATTACATGTTATTTCATTTACTTCGATTATCATATTCTTTGTTGTTAGAGGAAATTTCGCAAATAACCACTAAAAATAACTTAATTAGGCTCCATAGCTATAATTTGCAAATAATGATTCGTAGCTACATGTTAGAGGGAGGAGAGAGGCAAGTGAAATTGGGGAGAAGGAGGAGAGAGGCGAGTGAGCTTGGGAGAAGGAGGAGAAAGGTGAGCGAGAGAGGGCAAAGAGTGGAAAGAGGTGAATTGTATTTGTATATCAATCAAATTGTATATGTATATATGTCAAATAATTGTATATATGTAACTGGTATACATATGTATTTGTATATATGACGAGCGAGATTAGGAAAGGGAGGAGAAATGCGAGCGAGATTAAGAGAGAGAGTAGAGAGGCGAGCGAGAGAGGGCGGAGAGTGGAGAAAGACGAATTGTATTTGTATATCTGTCATATAATGCATATGTATAATTTAGATTTGTATAAGTGGAAGAGAGGAGAGATGTGCACGTAATTATAACTAAAAAGAGATTGCGAGCGATAATTAATTCAAACTATAACTATGTTAACTAATTAACTAATATATATATATATATATAGAGCTAAAACTCCATTGAAATCGTCTTTCCTACTTTCATAAAGCACCAATAAAACTACATATACGTTAGTATTATCAAATTCCACTTATGAAATTACGCTCGATAAAACGAAAAAAAAAAAAATGATTGCAAAACGCCGGGGTGATAGTGCTAGAGGTCGGCGGTCGGTGGCCGATAGTCAAAGAAAAAGACAATTTCAATTCTTTATTATAATATATAAATTTTATAATTAAATAATTATGGCTCTCCTCTTTTTGTTTTTTATTTCATTTTATTTTATTCTTTCTCTTTCACTTTTTCCCAATTTCCAACTTTAGAGGAGCCAACGCTTTGTAGTTGCCGTCCTCAACTTTATTGCTAAAAACTAGAACTAGAATAACCTATATATAGTGGCTTTTAATTTAGTCAATTAATTTAAATTCACAATATTAAAACGTGCCATCAACACTAAATTCCCAAAAACATATAGGCAATTTACTTTAATTCTTTTTTACAATCATAGTATTTGAATATATGTGTTTTAATTAATTTTCAGAAAATTATTATGTATATCGAGTAATTTTGTTCATTAAAAATTAGATAAATAAATAAAAGAAGCACTAGTAATTTTATCTTTATCGAAATATGAATTTTTACTTTTCTTTATTTTACTTCATTGATCATTAAAATACATCGTAAAAAACTAAACATATAAAGACTTACTCATATTTACGTCAAACTACATTAACTTTTTATTTTTCCAGTTTAGTTATTTAAAGAGAGAACACAAATTATATTGTATTTATTGTTCATAATGAGATATGATCAAAATTTGTGGGGAATAAATGACATGATTTGTCTTTTCCAATAATAATAAGTATAACAAATGAAAGGAATACTACTTTTCCAAAATTTACGTATACGTTAACATATTGTCTCATATTAGAAAAAAAATTGTCATGATTTACCTTTCTAAATCCACCCACAACCACTATTACTTTGTAATTTAAGATCATCATATATTAGGAGAGAGTGGGATTTTCATAATTTTTTTAAATTACATACGTCTCTATACATAACGTAAAGTGATGTATTTGATCAATAAATTAGATAAAGTGATGTATTAGAGATCAAATGTTAATTTTTTTTAAAGAATATAATAAAATAAATTGTGTATTTAAAATATCGAAATTGAATTAATCATTCACATATACAATAACTAGCGCTTTGATTACTTTAATAATTGACTTAACTCATAAAGCATTTCACATAATGACAAGTATAATTCGTCCATTTATGGATAGATGGTTCAAATAAATAAGTACTTTAGTTTATAAAAAAAAAAGAAATTATCTGTTAATATCAATAAATCTACTAGTAAACTAAGCAAAGATGATTGGTAAGTTAATTTAATTTTATAATCATTTTTTTTATCAAAAGGGAAAAAGTTGAAACCCTTGTATTTAGATATGTACATAAATCGCCGAAAATTAAATTATCCAATCAAATTAAAAAATTACTACACCAAAATTTAAACTTATCAAACGGAATTAAACTTCAAAAATTTAGTGTTCAATATCTTCTTCTTTTTTATCGATTATTAAATTATTAAAACCAAACCAAATACCAAAACCTCACTTCAATAATATAAAATTGACATGTAGTTTTGTAAAAATACTTGTATTTGATTCAATTTATATGATATTTTTATATTTTGATATTTAAATAAGTTTAACTTGACCGTAATTATTATTTCATATATCTAAATTCACTAAATATTTTGAAGATTTCATATTCATATTCATATTCATATTTACGGTCAAACTTAAGTTATTTAACTGTCAATATTTTGTAGATTTCACACCCACATTCATATCTACGGTTAAGTTTAAATTATTTGATTGTCAAAATTTCAACGATATCACATAAATTGAGACAAACGGAGTAGGGCGGAGTTAATGCTTAGGTGTAAAATTAAAAGATGAGTTGTTGAATGTAGAAGAAGCTAATAACATTTATTTTACCCCACATTATCAAAGTGGGCCTCCATTACCTTAACTGGCTTCATCTCTTCATAGTCTTTGCGTGTCCACTGCCCAAATCTTCTCCTTCTCTCTCTCTTCCTCCTCTGTTTTTGCTCCAAATCGAAGCAAACACCCATCTCTCTCTGTTGAAGAGTTTTCTATCATTGACAAAAACAGTCAAAAGCTTGAAATTAACAAGAAAACGAAGTTGGTTTAAGCAAATCTTTGGTTTTTTTTAGTAAGGTAACTTGTTAATGGCTTATAGTCAATCATATGGTTGTTCAGTTTGATGTTTGGAATGGGAATGATAATTTTGTATGTTGAGTAATGGGTAATTGGAGATTCATTGACTTGACGTCTCTGCTTTGCATGAAGTATAAAACAGTTTGTTTTGCTTGCCCATTTTGGATTTACCCATTAGTGTTGACTGGGTGTGTTTAGTTTTTTGTGGGGTTGCTGAAATTCTGGGTTTTATTGAGTTTTGTAGGTTTCTGTTGAATCTAAGTGGAAGTTTTTTCAATGGGGTTTGATCTTTTTGTGTTATTGCAGCATTATTGGGAATCGCAGGGGAAAGGGAGATGTCTTTTGTTGGTGTTATTGTTTCTGATCAATGGCTGCACAGTCAATTCACTCAGGTGGAGCTTCGAACCCTCAAATCGAAAGTATGATTTCGACTCCTTTTCTCTCTGCTTGTTGGATTTGATTGATGTATTGTTTTTTGAATGTGGATGTTGATAATCTGTTGGTTTGTTTGTTTTTTGGGTTCCGTAGTTCATTTCAGTTAAGAGTCAAAATGGTAAAGTTACAATTGGAGACTTACCGCCTTTGATGGCGAAATTAAAGGCTTTCAATGAGATGTTTAATGAGGAAGAGATCCGGAATATCTTGGCTGAATCGGGTTCAGATGTGAATGATGAGATTGATTTCGAAAGCTTCCTTAAAGTGAGTATTTAATCTAGTTATTTGTATTAGTGAGTTCATCTGGTTTGTTTACTCATTGCTGTTGACTGAATGGAAATGAACAATGTAGATTAGTCTAGTAGTTAAACAAAGTTTTCAGGGGTTCTAGCTGATTAACTAGAAAGTGGAATTTGCTTTACTTTCACCTCATTATTCTGAATTTCAGTTTAGTGACATTATGGTCAATTACTTGTGTTCGACAGACATACTTGAATCTACAAGCTCTAGCTGCCCCAAAAGTAGGCAGTTCTAAAAGTTCGTCCTCATTCCTGAAGGCTTCCACAACTACACTTCTTCACACGATCAGTGAATCAGAGAAATCATCTTATGTTGCTCATATAAACAGCTATCTAAGAGATGATCCATTCCTAAAGCAATTTCTTCCAATAGATCCAGCTTCAAATGCTTTGTTTGATTTGGCAAAGGATGGAGTTCTTTTATGGTATTTAAACTTAATCTAATTTGTGATGCTCCAAATTATGTGTGAATCTATGACGAAAGTTTCTGTTGGCTCATTGTACTTTTCTTTCTGTGATTCATTAGTAAGCTGATCAACGTAGCTGTACCTGGCACCATAGACGAACGGGCTATTAACATGAAACGAGTAATTAACCCATGGGAGAGAAATGAGAATCACACCCTTTGCCTCAATTCTGCAAAGGCTATTGGATGTACTGTTGTCAATATTGGCACTCAAGACCTGGTTGAAGGACGAGTGAGTTGAATCTTGTCTTCTTCATTTGCATTACCTCAATGTACCTCTGAGTTGTGTGTTTTAATTATTATTTTTTCCCTATATCTTTGCAGCCTCACCTAGTACTTGGGTTGATTTCTCAAATCATAAAGGTTAGCTCCTGATTTATATTTCTTTGTGTTCTCTGCCTAGCTTTTATGGAGGGATAAAAGGGCACGACAGTTATGGCAGATTATGTTTGGTTAATTGCATAGCACTTGAGATTTGTGTTGATTATACTGACTTTTTTTCTGGCTCTCTCCTCTCCTGTTTCTTGCCGATTGTGGTATCTGAAGATACAACTATTGGCAGATCTCAACCTCCGGAAGACCCCTCAGCTCGTGGAACTTGTGGAAGACAGCAATGTAATTTAATCTCTCTTGTCCAAAGCGGCTCTAGTTTTATTTCCAATCCATGTGCATATCTACGAACTATACAAGTAAATATCTGATTATTGTTAACTTGTTCAGGATGTTGAGGAGCTCATGGGATTAGCTCCAGAAAAACTCTTACTAAAATGGATGAATTTTCATCTCAAGAAAGCCGGTTACAAGAAAACTGTGGCAAATTTTTCTTCTGACTTGAAGGTATAAATATTCTTTTTCTTCTCCCTGACCTCCCAATATCAATTAGTTAAAAAGTTCCCTGTAAAGGAATTCACTTTATTTACCTTGTCAAAATAAAATAGAAGTTCCTTTATTAAGTTCCTTAGAAAGTTAATCATAGAAATGAAGATGCAAAACACATTCCAATCCAGGTCAGGGTATAACATGACAAATAATGTGGTGTAATATCTAAGCTATGCACCTTAACTAATGTTGACCCATTTGGATTTTAAAGCATATTGGCCTCTTGGCAATCACATATTTATGCTCTTTCCTGTAGGATGGGGAAGCCTATGCTTACCTGCTTAATGTACTTGCACCAGAGCATTGCAGCCCAGCAACCTTGGATGTCAAGGATCCCACTGAGAGAGCTAACTTAGTTCTTGAGCATGCAGAGAAAATGGATTGCAAAAGATACCTAGATCCTAAGGACATAGTTGAAGGCTCATCCAATTTAAATCTTGCTTTTGTTGCACAAATATTCCATCAGAGGTAGGAAACTAACATAGCTTCTCTCTTTTTATCTTTTCTGGCTCCTGTTGTGGTTGTCCGCGGTATGATAAGTAGGATATAGTTGAAGGTTAAGCCAATTTATATCTTGCTTTTGTTGCACAAATATTCCAGTAGACGTAGGACCCTAACATGGCTACACTTTTTTTTAATCTTTTGTAGCTCCTTTTGTTGTTGTGCTCAAAACATAATCATAGAAGCACAAGAGGGGTAATCACATTATTTTTGAGGAACATTATAACCACTGTATAATCCAATCATGTATTTGTTGTGCATGCACGGCTACATTTTCCTCTCTTTTCTTTCATTGCTTGAGATATCTATTTTGCAAATATTCCTGATTGATGCTCCACTTAGATTCTAAAAGCAATGTGCCTACAAAAGTCACCATCTGCCCTTAACATTTAATGAAGTTCTGGAGCCTTCTGTTGTCATTCTAAGTATGAATCAGGCTGATCTCTGCGTTTTCAGTTTTCTTGTTATATTATTTTGGTTTTGGTTTGAGTCGCTAAAGGAGAGGGTGATGCTAGTTTTTTAGTTGAAGCAGATGGCCATTTTTGAGAAATGGGTTTCTTTTTCAGGAGTGGGTTGTCTACAGACAGCAAGAAGGTATCCTTTGCAGAGATGATGACAGATGACGAGCTAATTTCCAGAGAGGAGAGATGCTTTCGATTATGGATTAATAGTCTTGGGATAAACTCTTATGTCAATAATTTGTTTGAAGATGTAAGAAATGGGTAAGTGATTGGCCTTGTTACATGGATCACTCCAGATATGAAAACGGACACCTGCTAGTAAAAGGTGTAACTGGAATTTGTAGGTAGAATTTAGCTCTGCCTCAACTTTACCATTTATTTTTGTAGATGGGTACTTCTGGAGGTGTTGGACAAGGTTTCTCCCGGATCTGTTAATTGGAAGCACGCAACCAAACCTCCAATAAAAATGCCGTTTAGGAAAGTTGAAAACTGCAACCAAGTTGTCAAGATTGGGAAGCAGTTGAAGCTTTCCCTTGTAAATGTGGGAGGAAATGATTTTGTCCAAGGGAATAAGAAGCTTATACTTGGTAATGTCTCAGAATCTATTTTGTTTGTTTCACATGTGAAAAGTGAGGCTTATTTCTCTTCTTGTCTATGTGTGAATGTAATCACTTCCAAGCTTTATGAGCGGCCAAGATTCTATGATTAATACAATTGGGCTATTACTTTATTCAAGCTTATTGATGGTATTGTGTATTATAAATGATTCCATCAAGGAACTTTTGGGTTGTTTTCCTACTATAATCATTCTCAGTGTGATGTGTATAATGATTCATCTTCAGTAAGCTAGCAAGCTAAGACGCAACATTTTTCTTACATAGTAAGATGTGTCCAGTTATGGTGGTGCTAAAAGTAAAGAAATCTTCCAGGACCCTGTAAATGAGTAGTCTCGAAAATTGGATTATAATTTTAACGGATGCGGAATTTTAGTTGTATTATTCTCAAAACTTGTAAATGTGGTTGCACATATTGAATCATCATAAATCATGGTTTAGCAGTCTTGCCTAATACGTGAGCCCCTCCTTACTGATGATCTGTTATTATGCATCCTCAGCAGTGAACTTTTTGATTTTGTGTTTTCTTTTATGTGATTATGTTGCTTTATGCAACTAAATACCTTAGTTTTGCTTCTTTGAATGATATGCTTTACGACATATGCAAGCCTTGTAATTAGTGCTTCTTAGCACATCACTTATGTATTCATATATACATTCTTTTCCAGCTTTCCTGTGGCAGTTGATGAGGTTTAATATGCTTCAGCTTTTGAAGAACTTGAGATCACGTTTCCGAGGGAAGGAGATTACGGATGCTGATATTCTCGCTTGGGCAAACAAAAAAGTTAAAAACACTGGAAGAACATCTAAAATGGAGAGTTTTAAGGTGAAGTATCACCAGTTCCTGTTCAATTGGCGTAATTTCAACTTTGTCTATGTGATTTTAACTTACAATTAGTGTTTTTTGTTTAGGATAAGAGCCTTTCAAATGGATTATTCTTTCTCGAGCTTCTCAGTGCTGTGGAGCCAAGGGTTGTTAATTGGAATCTTGTCACCAAGGGTGAAAGTGGTATGGAGTTCATTCGTGCAAAATTTAATTTTTCTAGTCTTTTTTTCTCTTCTTGGGGCATGGAGGAAGGTCATTTCCCAGTCACTCTCCGTTACTTAACTGCCGCAGGCTTCTCTTTCACTTACACAATCAAGAATGTCAACTTGCACTTGCAATATTGAATTCAGCTTTCTAGCGTGAACAACTAGCTTTTAACTCTTCCTTAGTGTTAAAAATATGGATTGAGGAATTTGAATTTCTAGAGGGTGCAACTTACTTTCTAGGCTTTTAATGCTTGCGGTCTTCTATCTAACATCATCCAAAAGAATATCAAGTTTCTCAAAAGGGTCATAGTACGACAGGGTTTTACACATTCTGATTTTTCATTCTACTTATTGTCATCTTATGGGATGAAGTGCTCCAAACTGAAATTTCTTTTGTTCCGTGACAGATGAGGAAAAGAAGTTGAATGCTACTTATATCATCAGTGTTGCACGGAAACTTGGGTGTTCTATCTTTCTGTTGCCTGAGGATATCATGGAGGTGAGTATGCTGTCATGTTGAATTGCTCCTACTAGTTCCTGTATCCATTATAGTAGGCTTAACAAGAACCAGATAGATACAACACAAACTTTCCAAGGTAAAAAGAATTTAAAACCTTCTAGGACTTTTAAGACATGTTTAAAACAGACTATTTGACAAGTGAGACTAGCTCTAGTGGTTGAGCATCTCCACCATCAACTGGTAGGTTGAAGGTACGAGTCACGCTGGATGGAGGGTAAATGGGAACACTATTGATCCTTTTGATGGGGTGGGTGGGGTAAAAAACAGACTAATCTCTGTCCACTTGCAATACAGAGAAAGTATGCCTGCGTCTGCTTCATCATGTATTCTTTTCTGTGCAAAGATGTATTCCTGAGACCTGATTATGACACTATCCTTCTTGGGGTCACGTGTGGACAGGTTAACCAAAAGATGATCCTCACTCTCACTGCCAGTATCATGTACTGGAGCCTTCAGCAGACAGCGGACGATATAGAGTCTCCTGCGAGTACTGTTGCATCTGATGCATCACCTGCAAGATCTATGAATGGCTCTATGTCCCCCTATACCGCTGCTTCACCTGATGCATCCCCTGCACCTTCAATTAGTGGAGCATCATCGGCTACTCCTGATGCATCTCCAGCACCATCTGTAAACGGAGATGATGAAACCCCACTTATTGCTGAAGTGTCAAAGTTGGAGTTGGCTGCTGACTATGCACCATCTGATACTCCTGAAGTGTCAAAGTTGAAGTTGGCTGCTGACGATGCACCATTTGATGCTACTGAAGTTTCAAAGTTGAAGTTGGCTGCTGATGATGCACCATCTGATACTGCTGAAGTGTCAAAAGTGGAGTTGGCTGTTGACAACGCACCATCTGATACTACTGAAGTGTCAAAAGTGGAGTTGGCTGCTGAGGACGCACCATCTGATGCTACTGAAGGGTCAAAATTGGAGTTGGCTGCTGACAACACCCCATCTGATACTACTGAAGTGTCAAAAGTGGAGTTGGCTGCTGAGGACGCACCATCTGATGCTACTGAAGGGTCAAAATTGGAGTTGGCTGCTGACAACACCCCATCTGATACTACTGAAGTGTCAAAATTGGAGTTGGCTGCTGAGGACGCACCATCTGATACTACTGAAGGGTCAAAATTGGAGTTGGTTACTGGCGATGCACCATCTGATACTACTGAAGTGTCAAAGCTGGAGTTGGCTGCTGACGATGCACCATCTGATACGTTAGCATCTCCAATGCAGTCTCAAAATGCAGAGATACCATCAGATGCACCCTCATCCTCACTACTTGAGGATACACAACAACAGTACAGCCTCTTCTCATGAAGTTGAAAATGAAGGTACAAAACCAGATAATGAACAATAGTTAAACGTTTTTGTCTTTACAGCTACGAGGGACAAATAATAAGCTAGGGGGAGAAAGCAAGAAGAACGAACATAAACGAAGAGAACATACATGCGTTTTTAGATGAATTATACTCAGGTGCGAAATGCTTTTAGATACAAATATAGATAAAAGTACACAATGTTATCAAATCAGCACGATAGTACCTCTGGAAGAATCAACTGTACTATTTCCAATTTTGTTTCCTGCTACTTTTATGTAGTTTTTTTTTTCTCATCTGAATGTAAGTAGAATTTGATTCATTAGATGTATGGTTTATATTTTGAAAATATTCTCAGTGATTCATATTTTTATTTTATTTTTTGAGGTTGCAACACTGATATAATAATGGAGAAGGGAAGAACAATAAAAATGCTATGTATTTTTTCATTTGATTTAGTGTAAACATACTATTTATATTAGTGTAGTTTTTGAATGATGAAGTTAACGTTTTCAATTCTTTTGGGTGCAAATGTAGTACTATATATATATATATATATATATATATTATTACTTCCAATCGTGTTTTCTTTCGTGCGATTAAGACTTTTAAAATTTGTGGTCTCACACGTTTTTTAAGTAATATTTAGCCATCCCTTGTCAATTTTCAAGGGAGGGATGTAACACGAGAACTTGACCATTCATTCTAATACTATTCTTGTTTAAACACGTTTAACTTTGAAATTCTGATAAGATTCATTATGTTCAATTCTTACTAGTTTTCCGCACAACTTATGGGATTAGTTTGCTTTAAAAAAAACAAGATTTCACTCACAATATATGAATGAATAAACAAACAAACTTTGCACAATTAACTTACGTATAATGCACATTTTCACATCATTTCTCAAGTTCCATAAATAGAAGACATTACCAAGTAGACCTATAATATATTAAAACTTGTGATATAATTAAAAGTTCTTTTTTTTTTTAATCTAAAAAAAAAAGATGTCTTCAAATTATATTTGTTTCTCTGTAATTCCCTCTCTTTCTTACTGCTATTTCTTCTCTGCCAAAATCCCAAAAGGTATTCCAAGGCTAATTTCACTTCTCCCCATTTTTTACCTCTTCACAATCCTCCCACTTTACTTTTCTTCTGCATTTCTCACAGTAATCACCACTTTCTCCATTACATGGCTTGCCATCTTCAAGCTCGTACTCTTCGCTTTCGATCAAGGTCCGTTAATTAACAATGCATCCAATCCGAAAATCATATCACTCCCCGTTTTCATTTCCATAGCCGCTCTACCTCTCAGAACTACCTTTACCCCGAACCAAAACAGAAAAAACCCGATGAATTCAGCTGTACAACTTGTCATATTCGCTGTAATCATGGAGATTATTCTTCATCACAAAAATGAAATTCATCCAAAATTAGTGTTGATTTTCTACAGTGTGATGATTTTCCTTATGATTGATATACTAATTGCGTTGTCTTCTCTTGTCGTTAAGAATTTTCTGTGTTTAGACATAGAAATTGAATCACCATCGAATGAACCTTATTTCTCAACTTCGCTACAGGATTTTTGGGGACGAAGATGGAACCTCACCGTAACACATACGCTGCGTTTCACTGTATATAATCCGGTGAGGTTAGTGTTGTTGAATGTGATTGGTAGAAAGTGGGCCCAACATAGTGCCTCGCTGGCAACTTTTTTAGTTTCGGGATTAATGCATGAGCTGATATTTTACTACGTTAATAATGGTGTGAGACCTTCCGGAGAAATAACGGGCTTTTTTGTGTTGCACGGGCTTTGTTTAATGGTGGAGATTGAAGTAAAGAAGGCTTTGAAAGATACGTTGCAGTTGCCTGGGCTTGTTTCGGGCCTGTTAACTGTTGGGTTTGTGGTGGTTACTGCATTTGGGCTTTTTTTTCCACCAATAATTAGGAGTGGTGTAGATGAAAGTATACTTGAAGAAGTTGGGTTTTGCTTTGATTTCCTTAAAGATAAAATGCTTCAATTTGTAATTTTTGATAAAATTTGTAATTTTGGCTACTAATAGAAAAGTTGATTTGTGCAATTTGGATAATTGTACTTTTCACTTTTGGAATTATATAAACACTATTGGTAAATTTAGGACCTGGTCTTTTGATACACTAATATTCAACTTTTATCTTACGTCTAAGAACTAAGTTCTATAGAATGGAAATTAATTGACTTTATTGTATGAGGTGGAATGTTGATCAATCAAGATCTCTCATGTTCAGAAAATTAAAGTTGCGAGAATGAGGATATTGAGATAGATGTGTGAGCATACTAGGAGAGATGACATCAAGAATGAGAATATTCGAAACAAGAAAGGAGTTGTTTTTGTGGTGAACATGATGAGAGAAGTAGACTAAAATGGTTTGGGTATGTGAAGAGGAGATGTGCAGATGGCCCAATGAAGAGGTGTGAGAGGTTGAATATAATGGATATGAAGAGATATATGCCGAAGAACTATTGGAGAGACGTGATTAAACAAGACATAGTGCAACTTGAACTTATTGAGTATATGACTTTAATTTAGATATGAGGATATATGGAGGTCACGAGTTAGAGGAAAATTGTTAGAAGATAGTTGAGTGTTGTCTTGTTTTCCGACATGATTAGGCTTTGGTTGTAGTAGGTAGTCTATTATTTGTTGTAGCATTAGCCTTATTATTCGTGTAGTTTCTTGTCTTTGATATATGTTACCTTATGTTATTTATTGTGTATTGGTCATCAAATTATTTTTTTGTTGTTAATATTTCTTTTCTGAATACTCTGTACAACTTTCCTTATTAATTGTCCTGTTTTTTGTATTGTTGTTTTTCCTTTTCATTACTAATTTGTATAGGTATACTTGAGCAAAGGGTCATTCATAAACAATTTTTCTACCTCCACAAGGTATGAGTAAGATATGCGTATATAATTTTATCCACTCAGATCTCACGTGAGGGATTTTATTGTGTGATTGAAAGTGTATTTTTTGAATGAAATAGTTTTGTTGGATGTTTGGTGGGCTAGCCATAACGGGGTGAAGTGTCGTGTTAGAATTATACTACTACATTATTAATTGCTTTTGTGTGGTACCAAAGATTTAACCCTTTTGTGGTCTTTATTTCATTCACTTTTAAGTCTTTCAACTATGTTTGGGTAGGTAAAAATAGATCAATTTGAAGTCAATAAAAAAGTAACACACACACACTCCTTTTGCTAGTGCAATAGATCATAAAAGGAGATTACTTGTCATTGTAATAACTAAGAGGTTTAGGTGTCTTTTTAATGTAAGACCAAAAGATTTAAAAGTCTTACTTACGTTCTAAAATTTCAAGTCAAAAGATAAACAAGTTGAAATGGAGGTTATCTTAGGTATGCAAAAAAAAAACACTTAACCTAATAGACTAACAAATTATATGTTCTAATGAATCTTTTCAGTGTACTTCATGGTTTATATGAATGCAACATTTATTGATTTAAAAAAATTGGTATGATGTATCTTTTAGTATGTTAGGCTAGATATTTTTGAAATAAAAATTAGTAATATTTGATTTCTTGTTTGGTTATTAACTTTAGGATAAATAATATTAGAATTAATAATCAATATTACGATAGAATAATAGATCAAGATAAAATAATGAAAGTGACAAAAAAGATCATGACATCCTCAAATCTTTTTCTACTGAATAAGGTTAAAGGGTATTTTTATGAATAAATAATTCAAAAAAAATTAAACAATGTATATTATTTTTTATATAACAAATCAAACAATCATTATATCAGAATAACTAATCCAAATATAATTAATCTCATCATAATTTGAAATTCAAGCCAAACAACCCCTACATTATCATCATCAAAGAATGTGGTGTAGTAGATATGACTGTTTCTTTCTTAACCAGAAGTCTCAATTCGAGTCCCGAGTATGGAAATTTTTTTATAGGGAGTGCTTTCCCTCGAATGGGGTTCTACGCAACGCAATCTGTAATAGTCGAGCTCCAATACGAATATCACAAAAAAAAAAACTACATTATTATTTGTAGTTGTGCTTTCTTTGGCGTGACATGTATATCCCATTTGTGGTCCTTATTTAATTCACTTCTAAGTACTCTAGTTTGGTAGGTGAAAATAGATCAATAGAAAACACACACACTCTCCTTTTGTTAGTGCTATAAATCATAAAGAGAGGGGGAAAATCCAAAAAATAACCAAAGTCGAAGAAAATGTCATCAATTAACATTTGTCTCTCTATAATCCTCTCTCTTTGTTACTCCTATTTCATATCATCAAAAATCCCCAAAGGTATTCCAAGGCTAATTTCACTTCTACCCATTTTTTACCTCTTCACAATCCTCCCACTTTACTTTTCTTCTTCATTTCTTATAGCACTCACCACTTTTTTCATTACTTGGCTTGCCAATTTCAAACTCCTTCTTTTTGCTTTTAATCAAGGCCCTCTTTCTTCTTTCACCTCAAAAAATGCAACAAATCTTCCTATATTCATTTTTATGGCTTCCCTTCCTCTAAGATCCAAACAAAATACCCCTATCAAAAACCCCACCAAGAAAATCCCATTAAATCTAGGTTTAGAATTTGTCCTTTTTGCAATTTTCTTGGAGTTGACTTTTCATCACAAAAGTCAACTCCACCCTAAATTAATCTTGATTTGTTATTGTTTCTTGGTTTTTCTCACAATTGATATTCTTGTAGCATTATCTAGCAATATTGTTAAAATAATCTTAGTGGGGTTTGAGTTAGAATTAGAGCCACCATCAAATGAACCTTATTTATCAACTTCCCTTCAAGATTTTTGGGGAAATAGGTGGAACCTCACCGTAACCAATACACTGCGTCTCACCATATATAACCCTGTGAGGTCAGCATTGTCAGAAGTTGTCGGGAGAACGTGGGCCCTACGTGTTGCCATGCTGGCAACTTTTGTCGTATCCGGTTTAATGCATGAGCTTTTGTTTTATTACGTTAATCGTGTGAGCCCTTCGTGGGAAGTGACGGGCTTTTTTGTGTTACACGGGCTTTGTGTGATGGTGGAGATTGGTGTTAAGAGGACTTTGAAAGATGTGTGGCGGTTACCGGGCTTTGTTTCGGGCCTGTTAACGGTTGGGTTTGTGGTGGTTACTGCTTTTGGGCTTTTTTTTCCACCAATAATTAGGAATGGTGCTGATGAAAGGGTACTTGAAGAAGTTGGGTTTTGCTTTGACTTCATCAAAGATAAAATGGTTCAATTTGTTGGTTATTTTAGATAAAATTTGTAATTGTTGGTTATTAATAGAATAGTTGATTTGTTCATTTTGGATAATTGTAATACTCCCTCCGTTTCAAAAAGAATGGTCTGGTTTGACTTGGCACGAAGTTTAAGAAATTAAAGAAGACTTTTGAATCTTGTGGTCCTAAATTAAAGTTATGTCAAATGTACAAAATTGCCCTTAATCTTGTGGTCTTAAACATGCCACGTGAAAAACTAAAAGTAAAATGTTACCAAAAAAGGAAAGAGGTCATTTTTTTTTAAACTGACTAAAAAGGAAATGAGGTCATTCTTTGTGAAACGGAGGGAGTATATCATTGTTGTTATATTATAATTTTTATGTTCGTTAGATAAGGCGCATGTGTTATGCTTTTGCTTGTGGAAGGGGGGCTATGGAAAAGTGGGTTGCTCTTACTTATGTTCACTTTCGTTTCAGAAGTCAGAACTTATGTTTACATCTCAAACAAAAATTTGATGCCTCAAAAGTGGCTATTTGGTAAAGGATTGATCAAAAGAGCCCATTATGGCAGCCCAAGTCCAGTAATTCTGGGTTGGGCTTGTACTTTAGGCCCATTTATGGACTGAAACATCATATGGGAAATCATGCTAATTATAGAATTTTTTCCTTAATTTTTTTAAACCGTTGTTTAGATATTATCTCTATTTTTAGAAGTTTTGTAGATATAGCATTTTAGAATCATCCTTCTGAATAACGTTAGACTATGGTCTTATGTTCGGCTATTTGTTTATATATTATTCAATCTTACGGATAAAAGATTAAATTGTTGTTTTGTTTATACTTGTTTCAGATTAAACATTAAACATTCATTTCCATATTGTTTTTATCTTGTTCAACATAAAACTTTTTGCTATACTAATAATGTATTTATGGTACTTTTTTTTTGCAAATTCCCTTTGTTAAAATATCCTTGTAGCTCACTCCATGTCCCTTCTTTTTCAACCCACCACCTCTTGTCTATTTTTAGCTTTCTTTTTTTGTTTGTTTTCTACTTTTTTTTCTTTATTTGTTTATCATTTTAAGTTTACTCCAATTGTTTGAAAAAATAAATAATGTTAACACAAGAACTCAAGAAGAAGCTTCATGATCCAATAAAATGGTAAAATGTAATCTAAGTGAACTTGTCTATAAAGCAAAGTCATCCATTTACCTATTTAAATATTCCCTCCATTTCTACTTTCGGTGTGACGAAGTTAGGTCGAACTTAATAATTAATTCAAACATCATTTCTTTTTAAACATTCATTGTACATGTATATATTATTAATTTTGAACTCAATAACTTCACATAACTAGGATCACAAATCAATTTGTTTCAAACGCTTATGAGTGTGTACAAGTTACCTACACCATGCAGAGGCAACGCTAAAACATAAATTGCAGGTTTGACCGAACTCAATAGCTGATTCAAATTCATCATTTATTTTTAAAATGTTCATTCATATGTACAAATTACTAATTTTGAACCCAATAACTTCACAAAATTAAAACCACAAATTAATACGATTCCAAATTTTAATTCCGCCTATGAGTGTGTACGTTACCTGCACCATCCAGAAACAGAGCTACAATGTCAATTTCAGTCAAACTCAATAGCTTTGATTCTAACTTTATACGTATTTTAAAAATAAGTTACATCTATACAACTTTGTAACTTTGAGAATAAACTCATAAGTTTCAAATCTCGATTTACAAATACCACATTTTTTTAAAAAGGGAAATAAAAGAAGAAGCTTTCCTCATATTTATGTGTACCATAGTCCATATACAAGTGGAAAGTGAGAGGAGTAAAAGAACAAAATATTTATTTGGTTGAAAAAATCTAAAACCCTAAAAACAACACTATAGAATTTTATGTAAACAAAAATACAGAGAAAGCAACAATGGCGATTTTAGGGCTCTCAAATCCAGCAGAATTAGCTTCTTCTCCTTCTTCTTCCTTAGCTTTTTCCCACAGGATACATTCTTCCTTCATTCCTAAACAATGCTTCTTCACCGGAGTTCGCCGGAAAAGTTTTTACCGGCCTCAACGTTTCAGCATTTCAAGTTCATTTACTCCGATGGATTCTGCTAAGATTAAGGTCGTCGGCGTCGGTGGAGGTGGAAACAATGCCGTTAACCGTATGATTGGTAGTGGCTTACAGGTATCTATCTTCTTTTCCTTTTTGTCCCTTTTCTTTTTCCCCAATTTTGTTGCTTTATGGTAAAAACACGAGTTTTGTTGTAGTACCTTATCTACTGTTCCAAGTTTTGTTGTCTTTATATGCTATTTCCAGTAAAAAAGGATAGACTTGGATTTTATTTTATTTTTGGTTATTTATTCATCTTGCATATACATATTTAAGAGAATGCTTTCAAATTAGCTAGCTATTGAAACTCCAAAAGCATTGACGATAGAAATGAGAGAAAAGAAAAAGGAATATGTTTCACCAAGAAAATGGATTTCATTTGTTGTATGGACTCAGTAAACACTGTGGCAGTGAGCATTTTCGTTTGGTTCATATTTTAATTGTTATGAGTTATACATGTCATGAATTTTGATAATTCTGTTTCTGAAGTTCTAGATCAGAATATGATTGGTTGCCTGTTTCTGGCTTCTTTAATTGGTTTTGGGAACCACTCTGCCTTCAAGTGAGGTGTTAACTTGTTTTTGTACTCAATTTGCTGCTTATTTGTCAATATTTGCATCAAAGATTGTATCTCAATGCATTATGAAGAAATAATCGGTGAGAGATATTTTATAGGCTTTGTTATCCAGGCTTGGCAGGAACAAGACCAGGGACTATGCTCTATGCTTTGTTCCTGTCCAGGGCTGGAGCTATAGTGTAACATGGGGTTCGGGTGAACCAAGTAGCTTTTGCGTAGACCTGTATTTGTACTAAAAACTCAAAAAACAAATATATTGTTGTTGACGTGTGAAACAACATACAGAAACAATTGGATAGTTCAGTGGTGCGTGCATGGGATGCGAAGCTCTTGTGTCCCCTTCTTACTTCATAAAAAAAAAAAAAAAGCTCTTGTGTCCCCTAGATATATGGGTTCGAAACTTGGTAGCTGCGCGTCATTTGTAGTTGATTTTTTTCTATATATGCTCTCTTTCTAAAAGGGAATATTCATTACTCTCTATTAGTTTCTCATAGGTTCTCTTTTCCGAAAAAGAAAAAATCATTAAATTGATAATTGAAAAAACCAAAAATGTAAAACATATAGTTGTTGACGTGTGAAACAACATACAAAAACAATCGGATAGTTCAGTGGTGCGTGCGTGGGCTGTGAAGTTCTTGTGTCCTCTGGATATGGGTTCGAAACTCGGTAGCTGCGCGTTATTTGTAGTTGATTTTTTGCTTTTATGCTCTCTTTCTAAAAGAAAATATTCATTACTCTCTGTTAGTTTCTCATAGGTTCTCTTTTCCGAAAAAGAAAAAATCATTGAATTGATTATTGAAAAAAAACAAAAAAGTAAAATATATAGTTGTTGACGTGTGAAACAACATACAAAAACAATCGGGTAGTTCAGTGGTGCGTGCGCGGGCTGCGAAGCTCTTGTGTCCCCTGGATATATGGGTTCAAAACTCAGTAGCTGCGTGTCATTTGTAGTTGATTTTTTGCTATATATGCTCTCCTTCTAAAAGAGAATGTTCATCACTCTCTATTAGTTTCTCATAGGTCCTTTTTTCCTTTCTATATGCAGTTTTTTTTCGAAAAAGAAAAAATCATTAAATTGATAATTGAAAAAACCAAAAAAGTATAATATATAGTTGTTGACATGTGAAACAACATACAAAAACAGTCGGATAGTTCAGTGGTGCATGCGTGGGCTGCAAAGCTCTTGTGTCCCCTAGATATATGGGTTCAAAACTCGGTAGCTGTGCGTCATTTGTAGTTGATTTTTTGCTATATATGCTCTCTTTCTAAAAGAGAATATTCATTTCTCTCTATTAGTTTCTCGTAGTTTTTTTTTCCTTTCTATATGCAGTTTTTTTCTGAAAAAAAAAAAAGGTCATCAAATTGATAATTGAAAAGACCAAAAAAGTAAATTGTTGTCCTGAAGTGCCATTGGCCATGTATTGTTTGCAAATCATGATAATTATAGTGGTGGGAAATCTGGACAGAAAGGGATTCCAGATGTTTTGAAGGCATAGAAAATAGTGTGCAGGATGTTAAACTAAACTGCATTTTGTTGTTATGTTTTTGGTGTAATCAATTATACTCAAATGACACTGCCTCTATAGTTGATGTTTTAGACTCATTATAGAAATAGAGTAGGAGTGTCTAGAGTGCATCGGTATATAAGGTTTGAGTACAACCCATGTACTCTTGTGATATAATACATCGTTACCATTTTCAAAAATAGTGATAGGTACTTATATTTATATAGTGTTCAAGTAGCTTGTGATATTTAGTTTGTCGGTTTTTGAATATATCAAATAGCAGTATTTGTTCGTTAATTTGGTGATTGTTATACATTAGCTTGAGGTCATTGTCTTATCTTAAAATTCAGAACCCATAAACCTAAAATGCTAGCTCTGCCTCTATTACTTCCTTTACTTTAGAACATAGGATCTCATAACCAATCTTCGTCTTTCATTTGACTTGAGATTTCCTTTTATCCTACCAACAAAGTGGTTACCCTTGGGTTCTCTATAACCATCAAATGATTGATTTTTGGGCATTTTGTTGACTGCCTAAATCTCTTGATGTTGCTTTCTAATTCATTATCTTCCAGAAAAGCGTATGTTGGAATACAATGCCATTACAAGGTTGCATGTGTACTTTTAGTGCTGGGTAACAGCTTGTGCCATGGAGAGAAGCTAGAAATATCCCTTACAAATTAAGAAAAGGAAAGCTAGAAATTTCTTATTGTCTATAGGATTTTCGATCAGTTGGCTTTTTGTTATTATCTTTTCTGAAAATTAATTGAGATGCCATGTCATGATCCCATCCCTTCATTTCATATGACGAATCTAAATGCTCCATGTCCAAAAATAGGGTGTTGACTTCTATGCTATAAACACGGATGCTCAAGCACTGGTACAGTCTGCTGCCGAGAACCCACTTCAAATTGGAGAACTTCTGACTCGTGGGCTTGGTTAGCACTCTTCTGTCTCTTTATAAAGAAATTACTCTTTCATAATAGCTGTTTTTCATTAATCAAATTCAACCTTGTTAAAAGAACTTTGGCAAAAGCTAACGTTAAGCAAGTTATACTCTATCCTGACTTTAGAAAGTGACAGAGTATTACTTTATTATTACCTACATGGAATCATGTGGTGTCACATGTTGCTCTAGAGTCTAGATGTAGATGCCTTTTTTTTGCTATTGATTTTGAGGTTTATGTTCAACGGTTTAACAAGCATGACATCTTTATGCTTCTTGATAAGCTAGTTAACTCTATCTTTATTCGTAATGATTTGTTAAGTAAGTTGCTTTTAGAGATGCAGGTACTGGTGGCAATCCTCTTTTAGGGGAACAGGCAGCGGAGGAGTCAAAGGAAGCTATTGCAAATTCTCTAAAAGGTTCAGATATGGTTTTCATAACAGCAGGAATGGGTGGAGGTACAGGATCTGGTGCGGCTCCTGTTGTGGCTCAAATAGCAAAAGAAGCAGGTTATTTGACTGTTGGTGTTGTTACATATCCATTCAGCTTTGAAGGACGTAAAAGATCTGTGCAGGCAGGTCCCATTTTCAGTTCCTTGGAGAATAGTGATTTACTTCTTTTTCTGGACTTTTGGAGATCTTTCTGCTCCACATCAATTAGAAAAGGTTGAAGCATGTAAGATATTCCTGCTTAAAAAGGGAAGGAGGATATCCAAGGTGATAGAAAAAGTTGCAAGAGAATAAAAAACAAGCAATTGGATTTCTTTAAATTCTTTTGGGGTTCTGGCTTAACTAACTGCATCAGTATCCAAAAAAGGAACCTCTTCGACTTAAAGAGTAGGAAATCTTTTAGGAAGATGCATTTTCATTTCTATTGATTACTGGAGACATGGTTGATGTGGAAGGGAGTGAGGTGAAGATGGTATTGAGTTGTATGGTGTCGAGTTTATAGATTAACTGTTGAGATGCACAAGAAACTTATAGTGTTCCTTGATGTATCTAAAGGATATCAAGTGCTTTCTAAGGCAAAAGTGTTCACATGCTCAAGCCTGAACAAGATTCTGACTTTTCTAACTGTCTGATTTTTTTTTTGTGCCAATGTCCTACGTTCCTTGTCATAAAGATTTTTTGTTCATGGCAATGTTTTATTCTCCTGTCATCCATAGTCTTTCATTCTTCTAATTTGAACTTATTGACCGACAGGCTCTGGAAGCAATTGAGAAACTTCAGAGAAATGTTGACACTCTTATAGTAATTCCCAATGATCGTCTACTAGATATTGCCGATGAGCAGACACCACTTCAAGATGCTTTCCTTCTTGCAGATGACGTATTACGTCAAGGTGTCCAAGGAATATCTGATATAATCACTGTGAGTTTATTTGTCTAAAGCCAGCATCTCTTTTCTTTTAATGATATTCTGAAATTCTTCTTTGCCTCATATAAATATGTATAATGTCATTGTACTGGTTATGTTACTTTACTAAATTCCCAAAACACTTGCAGACACTCACCAAAACTAAAAGGGCCTATTTCTTCTATGATGAATTTTTTCTGTACTAAACATTTTCATAAAGGTGCATCTGTTTAATATCATATCAAAAAAAATCCTCCCATTAAATTAGCTATATCGTAGTATGCATTATAATCTAGATATAATATGAACTGGTCCTTTTTCGGTAGATTCCTGGGCTTGTGAATGTGGATTTTGCCGATGTAAAGGCAGTGATGAAAGACTCTGGAACTGCTATGCTCGGAGTGGGGGTTTCATCAAGCAAGAACCGAGCTGAAGAAGCAGCCGAACAAGCAACTCTGGCCCCTCTAATTGGGTCATCAATTCAATCTGCAACTGGGGTAGTATATAACATTACAGGAGGAAAAGACATAACTTTGCAAGAAGTGAATAGGGTGTCCCAGGTGATGATGAACTTTTTTTTCCTTTCCTTTGTTCTCCATAGCTCCAGAAGTATTAAAGAAACCTTCTGCTCTATATTAAATGTTGGCACTATTTCTCACAGGTTGTTACCAGTCTGGCTGATCCCTCTGCTAACATCATATTTGGTGCTGTTGTTGATGAGCGTTACAATGGTGAAATACACGTGACAATAATTGCAACTGGTTTCACCCAGTCGTTTCAGAAGACGCTTCTATCTGACCCACGAGGAGCAAAGCTACTTGAGAAGGGCTCTGGAATCAAAGAAAGCATGTCATCACCTGTTACCCTGAGATCATCAAACTCACCTTCAACAACCTCACGGACACCTACTCGAAGGCTGTTCTTTTAGCTCCTTCATATTGTTTTTTTTACAGCTTCATTACTCTCCTTTTTAGTTTCTTCCTTTGTATTTAACATGTTTTGCTGAAGGGAACTGATTGGTGTTTGCATGTGGCTGTAGAGATAGTGATTATTCTTTATCAGATGCATACTCAGCTGTGCTCTCTTGTGACCTGCACATTTTTAACGCATGTAAAATATTGATACCTGTTGATTATTTCCCCTTCGATGAATGTTGGGACTCGTAAATAGGTTGGAAAACTTTGCTCTCCACCGCTTTATTCTTTACATTACAGATTACATCCAAGAAATATATTGTGTGAAATTGGACAAAATGGATCAGTTAAATGCTAATTTCATAGCAACAGACTGGCTATGGAATTATACAGCCCAATGGTTTGGCAACTGAGGTGGATCTAAGATTTTAAGTATATGGATTATAGACTGCATTGTGTTTTGCTTATCAAGTTCTTGACAAATTATTTATACATATTAAGTGAAGTTCTTAACAGTACTGGGTTTTGGACCAAAGCTACAAACTTATCAAAGATAAGCAGATGACCACATCTGTTTGAAGAGACACATGATGTGAAAATGCATTATACTTGCTCATTCATATTTCCGTGCTAGGATATGGAAATTCTACCTTCGAAAGGTAGGGATAAGGTCTATGAACACCTCACCCTCTTCAGACCCCACTTGAGAGATTGCGTTGGGTATGTTGTTGGCTAAAGCTATTGAATCTTGATCATCGTTTCTAAAGGAATCATATTTGAGATGTGGAGTAAAAGTATAAAATGTAGTATATATTAAAACGTTAGATACATATTACCCAGAGATGTGAACAATATAGTTGCATTTCATTTATGCAAATTACCATCTCATTATAGCCACTAGAAGAGGATCACAAAAAGAATGACAGTTCAGGGGTAGGTGCAAAGAACAACATACTTTCACCAAAATATTCAAATAGTTGTGGCAATAAATTTGCAGCATCCATATCCTTCTTCAAGACCTGACCAAGAGCAGCTGATGTTTTTTGGCTTTGCTCGCCAGTAATCTCCCTTTTGCTGGGTCTCGTCACATTGGTCACATTCTTATTTTGCAAATCTTGTGGACTTGATGATAAATCCCCATCTGTAACAGCCAGCACTGTGTCATGTCCATCGGTAGCTCCTTGTATGTCTGCTGGCAAAGAATCTGACAGCATTGGTGTAGGACCATCTGTCACTAATTTCTTGGTTGGCGGCTGTGAGACCATGTTGTCCGTGCTGGTTTTGCGTTTGTCTAGACAATTATGAAGCGGCATTGAGAGTAGTGTATGATAATCAAGGATGACAAAAGTAACATTTAGCATGACAAAAGACATCCATGGAAACAAACACACAGAATCAATAATGCAAAAACTTATATGGATATACAGATATACACATTATTTCTTCACTGTAAATGGTTTAAGATATTTGAGGCTTACTGAGTTCCTAATTAGTATCTAGATACCAAGTGAGAGCACTAAAACCTTCAAAGGTGTTTCAGACAGAAACATGCTTGCGTTCTAAAAATTTAGCATACAATTTCCACATGCTATCATAAAAAGAGAAGCCAATCTGATCCACAAACTAAGATATAAAAAACTATCGAGATCTATCCTATAGGAAGTATCATTCTAAGAACCAATTTGTATTGACAGTTAGAGCAGAAAGACACACTCAGCGGACAACTTAACACACATATTTCAAAAACCTGAGTTTACAGAATTAGTTAACTTCAAGACGTACTTGACAATGTAGTCAAGACTTTCAATTTACTCTTCAGGAATGTCCGATTTGATGGAGATAGAGATGCAGGAAGCATCTTGAAATGCTCATACATGCATAGACCCGCAGCGCACTGTAAACGAAAACATAGTTGGAGGAGTTTTCATAAGTGAAGTAGGAAATAATCCTAAAAGAGAAGTCATGTTAGGCTACATAAAACATCACAAGAGAAACAAGTTGATGAAATGACAGAAAAACGTTTGGATTATGCAAGCAAGCTACCATTAAGGCCCCATATACGCGCCAAGCTTCATGTCTCTTCACTTCATTTTTTTGTTTCTCAAACTGCATTTCAGGCTCCAACAATCGCAAATAAGCTTCAAGATTTGGCAGCACAAGCAGGCGAACCTACACAAAATTTATAAGCATCACAGATTGCAACAAAAAGTTGCGCCTTAGTCCCAAACAATATTGGGTCAGCTATACGGATCCAAATTGACCATGTTCCCCATTTATACATTACAGATTCCTAAAATCTTAAATTTTAGAAACAATGAAAAGATAAAAAAGAAAATACAGGGATATCAAGGAGATACCACACCAGGTCCAAGAGCTGCTAGCCCTTGAATTGCTCCATAATGCTGTGGCAGTGCCTTAGCTGGATCAAGATAAGCATGCAGCAAAGTCTTCGTGACACGTGGCTGGAGACTGTGATAGACATGACCATATCTGCACAGCAATAACTTGTGAACGACACAGTCTCAATTGATTATGGAGATTTAACCAAGATCATGGAAGTGAACGATCAACAATTGCCAAGCACTATCGTTTCAAGCAGATTAAGAAATGCTTTACACGTGTCAACAATTATACAAATATATAACCACCCCCTTCCCCTGAGACTCCATAAAAATAGTAGGTAGCATAGGAGATGCATGCTTTCTTAGCCTTTGATGAAACAAAACCAAGAGAACGACTGAATAAAGAGATCCCTACCGCCTGCATATTAAAGCAATCAACTTTGCTGTGAAGTCCCTTAGTTCCCAATGGTTGTCAGCGAATTTATTCCCCAGCCTTTTCGCAACAAGGCATGTCATTACAGACGGCATCGACTGGTGCAGCTGGAAAGGTTAACAAGAGAATCAACAGATGCAATTATAGCAACATCATGCAGCCCCAAAGCCCAAAGTTGCAGGATTAAGCCCAAACCAACTTTCCAGTTATGCATAAGACACTAATTTAATGAACAAAGTAATTTAAGAACTTATTCAGAGTAAAGAAAATTAATGTTGTTCATGAAAACTAACTCCATCTCTTTTCTTAACAGACATATACTTAGTTGTCCATCATGATTCTCCAGAGACATATTAAGGTTTGAGAAATCCAATTATAAAAATGATCTCTAGCTTTATAGAGTTAGTTTTTATTAATGTTTTATCCGGCATCCTTTTAGAAAAATAAAATGAATAAATAACATCAAATAATTATAAAACATGGTCATCAAGGATAACCAGATTTATAAAGATAGAGGTTATAAAAATTTATCCTGCATCCCTTATAAAATAAAAGGATAAGTATACTGAAGTAAATGGCACTGAGATATCAGCAAGGGACTCACATATGGTTCAATATGTAAATGAGAATTCTGAAGAAGGCTCCAGACTAGCCTCATCAAAGCAAAAAGGAGATCAAAATTATTCAAATTCCGTGCAACCTGACATAAAACAGAATATCATTACATCATTTATCTCACCTACAAATGTTACATTACTGGACTTGAATTGACCTATACCAACCTCATCAGCAACAAAATATGTGAAGTAAGGAACTAAGGGATGGAGCCCAGGGTCTGTTGCTAAGCTTGCTAAAGCTTCCTTGAAGAGAGGGGAGTTGGATTTATTCATGATAAGCTCTGTAATCTTGTCATAATAAAGCTGCAAAACAACCAAAGATGCATAAGGATAGAATCATATCGATGGGCAAAGAGGACGCAACCATATTGGCCAAGGTGTACCTGAAGCTCACGGGATAAGACATGCTTAACAGGTACTTTAAGATCAACAGGAACTCCATCCTCCTTATACTCTGCCTTTTGGTTATCAGGAGGTAGAACAAGTGCTGCCATGAAATTAATCTGTCAGTTGCAAGTACAAATTTTATTTTTTGACAAGTTCCAGGTATAAAATAACATCCATTATGAATTTTAATTGGTTCTGTTTCATCACTATCCTCTTCCATTATTTTCAGCCACAGAGCAGAGAGAACAAACCAAACCAGGACAACTAAGAGAATGAGAATCAATATCATGTTGATAAAACAGCGCATAACAAACAACAGATAACTGGAGAAACCATCATCTATGTTTGTTAACATGCTACACAAGTAATTGCTGCTAAGTTATTGTAAAAGATGAACCTTCAAGTGGAGGGTTTTCAGGAATAGCAGGCTGTACCCCTTCTATAGCTAACCAGTGAGCAAAAAGAGCAGTATCTAGTGGTGCTTTCGGCAGAGGTGCTTCGATCACCTAAAACACAGAAAGAGAAAACTTACTATACTTAACTAGTCCAAAGAAGAAAAGTTGGTAGCAAACCCAAGATATTCCAAATTTCTTACATCTTTGAATTCTATATCCTTCTCTTCAATATAGAACAAATCCTTATGCCCAGCAGCTCTCCTGAACCGTAAGGGATCTCCCGAAGCAAAACCATATATTGGCTGCGCAAGGCACACATATATAACACAGCAAATAAAAGACAACCAATAAGAACAGATAGTTTTCGCAAAATGATTAGAGTCAATGCAATGACAAACATTCAAACAACCAAGCAATGAACAAGGATGGATGTACATCAGGGCAGTACCTGTGGCCTCACCACTGCCTCCAACTTGTACTACATATATATAGATTAATTTTTTGAACATCTATACTTGCAAAAAGTCTACACTGAAAATAGTGAGTCTATTGATAAATCCACACCCTACTTACTTATAATCCTGGATACGCCTCTCATTGGCAGAGGCAGACGAAGATTTTTAGTTTATGGGCGAGTTCTGGATCATTTAAGCATATTGAATGAATAATTTAACACAAATACAATGTTTGAGCCAAAGTTAGTGGATTTTGCCCAACTCGTAACTACCACATTGGTTCCACCCCTGCTGTCAATGAGCAAAAAGAGTAATAGCTGAAGAGGAGAGTTACCTCCACATTTCTCAAGGTGAGTGCAGAATCAACATCATCAGTAGATAAAGTAGTTCTCTTCGAATGGCGCATACATTTTATAGCCTCCTACATTATCAACCAAAAAATCCTATAAATTCACGTGAGGCACAATAATCACCTAAAATTTGAATTTCACAACATTTTTGTTATCCCGAACAGCAAAATTTAATACAATAATGCGAGCGCCGAGCTTCAAACATGAAATAGAACAGCGGTAGCAAACAGAGATTGACAAATTGGATATGAAGAGGCACCTGCATAATTTCCCGAATACGGTACTCGACATCGGCGGCGAGAGCTGGCAAGACATCCGGTGATAAATTGCTTATTCCGATGCTCTGTGATATCACTTCGATTGCCTCTTCCGGCACTGTGCTCATTTTTCCGTTAAGGCAGTTACAGTGACGATTTCAGATGTGGAGTCGACGGGATTATACCGGAGTAAGGAAAGGTAGAAGATTACACCAAGTGGAACTAATAAGAAAAAAAATTACAATAAAATCTAGTCCCTTTGGCCATAAATAAGATTTGAAATATTTCAATAATATTTTAAATGAAAGTATTTATTTTACAAAAATTGACTCATATTTCAACTTTAAACTTTGAAATATAGAGTTTGAAAAATAAGACTTAAAAGTTTGTTGTACGATACAAAGAGATTTATGAAAGGTTACAATCCCTACCACGGAGTACTACACCTTCACACCTTCATCGACGTTGTTTTTTAACCGGAAGACCGAAAACTAACGGTAAGACTTTGGCCTATTCAAACACATACTTCATGATATGGTTCAAGCATGTTTGTTGCTGAGAGTAACAAGATCAAGTTGCTAAGGATTAACGCCTCATTTCTATTTCTATGGTCGATCGAGGGGACCTAGATTGTTGATCTCTTCTTTGTGGTGGACGATTGCTTTTATAACCCGAGTGTGTTGGGGAAGACAGGGAAGATGGATTGGATCGAGATGCCTATGCATCATATCTATCTATAGAACCGAACATGTTCTACCTTCAACCTCCGTCCATCACAACTAATCTCAATTAGCTTTTACTCAAAGCTAGCTTTTATTATTTTGAGACATCGAATAATAATAATGATGAGTAATGCATCTTGATTTTGTTATTTGCCCAAAGAAATGAAAAAAATTAAGAACGCATCGTAGAACTAATGCAACATTTGTGTTTGTTGAACAATACAATGTTTGGCTTCCAAAATCACAAGCAATTCGAAAGTATAACACTTTTTTCGCCCGAGTCTTCTCTGATTCATGACAATTGCAACTCACACTAATTTCACTCAAATATTGATCGACTTTGGAAAATGCTTTTTTACATAAAGAAACATATCAAGTGGGAAAAAAAGACTACAAGGTTGACTTGGCACATTGATGTGAGCACAATCACGAAAACATCGATTACACAGGAGGAAACAGAAGGAGATGTTCAAGATCTCATACACACACTTCTCTTACACACTCAAAGTACTTGTTCTTTTGCATTTACAGATACTTAATCAACATATATATCGCCACAACAAGAATGACAATTCCAAGCACCGCTAGAAGCATACACATGCAAGAGCAACCACCCTTTGTGCGTTTGTTCAAAATTCCAAGCTTTCTCTGCACCCGCTGTTGAATTATTGGGGAAAAAGAGGAAAGAAAACGAATTAAGTGACAACAATAATTCTCACCAACAATACAAAAGCTGAAGAAAATGAGACGGATAAGAACCGTCTTATTGACAGAGCAAGTGTTTGTATTAAAGTGTCTGTTGGTGCAGACACTTCGTTTAGGTTCTTTTTTATTTTTCCTTCTTTGGATAATCATCCCGGCCAACTTGCTGCACATCGACTTATCCACCGGGTCACTCTACTTAACAAAGCTTAGGTAGATGAAAAGATTTCACCTAGTTTCGCCTCTCTAGGCTTCAAACATTGTGCCAAGGTTGTAACTCCAGTTATTTCAACAGCTAGGCCACCCCTTTGCAGGTAGAATACTTTGTTTGGTAAAACCAGTTACTTTGCCTTTCTATCAATGTCTCTCCCCCACCCAAAAAAAAAAAATTACATATGTTCCTCTTCCTCCTTATCCTCTTTTGGTAATTCAACACATCAGGACTATGGAATTGACAAAAATAATCAATATCCTTACAGTTCATCTGACCCCCCTCCCCCACCAAAAGACAAACAAAAGCTATCCAAATGACACAAGTGAGAAATGTGACCACATGAATGTCAATTTCATGTATCGTCATCAGGACGAAAGTGCTTTCCCTTCACTATCAAAAGAAAAATGTGACTACATGAATGTCAATTACCTGTGTCATCATAAGGACAGAAAAACTTTCCCTTCACTTATCCTTAATGTTCTAGCAACTCGCCATTTTTTAAGCGCACACAACCAATCTGTAGGTACCATCCCAGTAACAAAGAAGCCCTCGGGGTGTAATGCTTAAACTTCTAAGTATTTTAACCTATTACGTCCTGCACCCTAAACACATGATAGCTTTAAACCTTCTTCTCAAATTAAACAAGACATGATTAGTCATTCCAAATTGCAGAGCCTTCCACACAGTTTCTGCGGTGCTGGAAGATGTCTACAGACTTGAGACTCCTAAAAGAATATATAAAGTACAATGCTCACGAGAACTAGAGTCAAAATCAGGTCCTAACAGGTTCTCACCTGAAGTCTTGAGTCTGTAACATCAACATGTTCGTCCAGGTCATCCTGCATTTTTGGTAGGACAATGAAATCAGTATCCACTTTAGTAGCAGAAAGGTTTTATTTCCGTAAGAAAATTGAGAGTAACTATAGTTCAATGTAAACCAGAAAATAGAGGTCATACAATAAGTCTTGTTTGCAAGCCAAGTTCTTCATTAACTGCCAGTGCTATATGTTTAGTGCTCATCACTGTCTCCTCCAAACTCTCAAGGCCCTCATCTTGCTCTGATTTGAGAGTAAAGCAAACAAATAAGAAAAATAACAGAATAAAAACCGAAAAACTAAATAACATTTCAAACTTGGTACTTCTTGCCTCTAAATTAATGTAACACTGTGTGCATGGAGTTTAAGATGTTATTATGACTTGTATATAATATTAGTAGAGGCCAAAGCAATTAGTTAGACAGGGAATCATATCAAAATTTAAATTTGACTAGCTACATAAATTTGAAGAGCTTCAATGAGGAATCATGGTCAATGAGGATTCATATGGCCGAGCCCAACCTGTTTCAACTGAGGCATAGTTGTTATTGTTTACATAAATTTGAATTCTTGAAAGCTGTGAAAATAATTTTCCATATAATTGTCACCAAAGTTTAAATTTGAGCAACAAATAAGAGAAAAGAGTGTCATACAAACTGGGAATGGATGAGCAGAATAAAACTCACCTTTCATAATTTGCCGTTGAAGACCGACAACGCCATAATTATCAAGACCTGTTGCTCTGCTCATAGCATCCACAGGCTTTATTTCTGGTCCAAGCAAACTGTCCCTATTCGCGAAGCTTGACATGTTCAATGTGGAAGCCATTTGAGATACTTTCGATTTCAAATTTGCAAGCATATCCTTGCGACGGTTCATCTCTTTCTCTGACCTACATACAGGAGAGTGCGCTAAAAAAAAACACATACAGAAGGCAACATAGCAGTAGTAACAGAATACATCAGTTTATTTGAATCTATATATGGACGGTGCAGCACGCAAACAAACTTTATAGGGACTTTTGAAAGAGACAACTGTTTACACTGTTAAGTCAGATTGCAGAAGAGAGTCTCCACATTCTGAATTACCATATAGACAATTCACGTAAAACTTATTGCATAAACCAACCTAAAGTTTTATTTCAGCTATTCATCTCCATGGAACTCTCTATATTTCAACTAAATGTGTTCTAGAAATTTATAAGATTATCAAGGAAAAAAGGAAAATTATACTTTTTACTGTTTATTAGTTGGCACTTAAGGTATGGCCCAACCACGAGGCCGAAAATTCAGTAGTATTAAGTTCATGCTTGATTTAGGGGGTGTTTGGATTGGTTATTTTAAGTAGCTTATAAGCTAAAAGCCATAAGTTGGTCATATCCAACATTTTTCTTTAAGCTTATTTTTCTACTATTTTAGCCTAAAAGGAAGTGCTTAAAAGCACTTTTAGTCTTTCCAAAACACCTCCTTACTTAGCTTTCAGTAATAAAATATAAGACCCTAGGAAACTTTTTTTTTTTGAACTTGGTAACTTTGTATTATATCACAAAACAGTACATGGGTCGTACTGTAACCTTATATACAAGTGTACTCCTGATTTCACTTCTCTACGTCTAAATTGAGTCTAACACATCAATAATAGAGACAGTGTCATTAGAGTATAATTGATTACACCAAAAGACTAAAAGTAAAATGCAGTTTAGTTTAACTTTCTGCACATTGTTCTCTATGCTCTCAAAACATCTTGAATTCCTTTCTTTCCAAACAGCCCACCAGATAGCCCCCGGGATAATTCTCCATCTACCTCTGTCCTTAGCATGTACACCTGCTTCCTCCCAGCATAGTAATGCCTCAGCCACCTTCCTGGGCATTGTCCAAGATATGCCTTTGAGGCTTAGGAATATTCTCCACAGATGATGGGTGTACTTGCAATGTAAAAATAGATGGTTAACAGTCTCAGATGTTTCACCACATAGGAAGCACCTGGAACACAAGGTTCTCCCCCTCTTCATAACATTGTCCTGTGTAAGGACTGCTTCTTTAGCCATTGACCAGACAAAAAAGGAGACTTTGTGAGGGATTCTGCTCTTCCATATTTGCTTCCAAGGCCATCTTGAGCACTGTTGATCTGTCTGATCCATCAACTTGTAGGATTTGTTGACTTTGAACACTCCCTTGTCATCTCCTGTCCACCACAATTTATCCTCACCTAGCTGTAGTCCAGTGAAAGTGTTCACAGTGTTTAAAAATTCAGCAACTCTCACTATTTCCCAATCATTAAGGTTTCTTCTGAAAATGAAATTCCATCCTTGTGGTGACCAAAGATCTGCTATAGTGCTTTGTTGAAACATGATTAGGTTGTAGATGTCTGGAAAAAGATCTTCCATGTTGCCTTTCTCATGCCAAATGTCCTTCCAAAATCTGGTCTTATTCCCATCCATTACTTTTGCCTTTGAGTTACTTTTAACTTCATTCCACAAGCTTCAGATGGACCTCCAAAGGCTAACACCATAAGGAGTGGTTACTTCTTTAGTTATCCAGTTGTCCTCTTTTTCATATTTAGCTCCAATTACTTCCCTCCATAGCATCTGGTTGTTGTTTGCATACTTCCACAACCACTTCATACTAAGAGCCTTGCTTTGCAATTTCAAATTCTTTATTCCTAGACCTCCATTTTCCTTGCTTGTCATGACTTCTTCCCATTTAACCAAATGAAAACTTTTCTTTTCTTTGTTGCCTTGCCACAAAAAATTCCTCCTGATACGATCCAACCTCTTAATGACCCCTGGTGGGATAGGAAACAGGGACATCATATAGGTTGGCAAAGCATCAAGTACTGAGTTAATAAGGGTCGGTCTACCCCCCTTTGATAAGTACTGAGACTTCCACTTGGCCAATTTCTTCTCACACTTCTCAATCACACTATTCCATATGTCTATGGACTTGGATTTAGCCCCCAAAGGCATTCCCAAGTATATAGTAGGCAGAACTCCTATTTCACCACCCAGAATTGATGCTAAACAACTCATGTTGTTTACTTGATTTATAGGATACATCATACTCTTCCTCCAATTGATATGCAAACCAGAAATACCTTCAAATAAGACCAGAATCACCCTTAGATACTTCAGTTGTTCTTCCTCAGCATCGCAGAAAATCAAGGTATCATCTGCATATTGCAAGTGTGTGACTTCTAGTCTCTCAGTACCTTCTCTGGCCACATCAAAACCCCTTATCCAGCCTCTCAAGTTAGCAGTTTTTATCATGTTGTTTAAACCCTCCATGGTGATCAGGAATAAAAAAGGTGACAAGGGATCCCCTACTTTGATTGAAAATATGTGCTCCATTGGGTATAAAAGTCTTGGAAAATGAAAATCAAATTGAAATGTCATTTCTAAACAAAATTCAATCAGAAACACATTCAACTAAAGTTCAATATCATGAAAGAAATACATTTCTTCTTTTTTTTTTGGTCTCCTCCCCCCCCCCTCCCCCCGTGTCCGGAGCCCGCATTGGAGCCCCGACTAAATGCATATCAAGACAGATAAAACACAACAATCAGTAGTTGTTTTAGGAACATGTAGAAAATTAACCAAAAAGCATGTCAACAGGCGGGTTTCTTTCCGCAGCACTCTATTCTTATACAATAGATTTACACCCATGATATAAAACACTCAATTTAATCACTGGAGTTATACATTACCATTGCAGCCACACAATGAGAGAATCAGATAAAGAACACTCACAAAGGCTGTTTTCCAGGAAGCTTCGACAGGATAGACTGTAAGTTATCAAGTCTAGTTCCTAATATAGTAATCTTCCTCCTTATAGCGGATGAATGACGCTGTGCTTCTGGGCCCGAAGCAGGCAATGAACTCCTTTCAGATATCATGTTAGTGATATCATCCGCGAGTTTCAGTCCTTCGTTATACTCCCGGATCCATGAGTCTCCAGAATAAGCCATTACCTGAAGTGACATTAGAAAGAAATACATTAATTTCTGCACATTGACTGCATCTCAAGATTTTTTTTTGAAAAATACATTAACCCTTTACGCTTCTTTTCCATCATTAGAAGTGCTTCGAGGATGGTCCATCAAAACAAAAATATGGATAGTAAAAAACCACATAAAAACAAAGGGTAAGGAGATATTAAATGAAATCTGGAACAGAACTTCACTTTCTCATATGATGTGCTACACCATCCACATCCAACAACTTAGTCCAAATATAACGAAAAACAAGAGGAACATCACAATTTCAGTTTGATGTGAGATCAAATTATCCTTGGCTTCCCAACTAAGTAGAACTGCACCTCCTCCACCAACCATCCACAAAAGAAAAAGAACTTCAAGCACCATAAAGAATAAAAAGGAGAAAACATAAAAACCAGAAATGTGACCTTGAAGTTTGCAATGCATTTGTTCCTTCCTACACAACTAGATACTAGTATAGCCAATAGAATGATGATATATTGCGCTACATTCTAAAAAACATACCTAATTTTTGGTCATATTATTTTTGTATGTGAATCAATTATTACAACAAGAAATACTAAAACAGCAACCAACTTATTCTGATGAAGTGCCATAATTTCTTCGCTGTCTTCTAGCTAATCTAATTCCAATACGAAATGTGAAACTCAACAACAAAATTAGCTCAATTGCGAAAAAACGTGGCAACAATTATATGAAACAGCTAGTGTGAAACTGAGCTACAAAAATTAACTTAAATAACAGCCAAACAAAGTAAAAGGCAGCTAGAATTACACGAAACAGCAAAAAAATACCAAAGCTCACCTAATCCAGAACCCTAATTCTTCATTTGCAAAAGTATAAAAGAGCAAAAATCAATACGCTACATAATTATAGTCAAAAACACCACAATCTCTGCCGAATTACGGATGATTGAATTCCATCCGAGTTCATCACTTGAAAAAATTCAAAAAAAAAAAAAGCAAAATTATTGAAATGATCGCACATAGGTCAAGTGAGAAAGAGTTATAATTACCTCTTTCTGATCTGAATTTGCGGTGGCGATGGTGGAATTGTGAGAGAATTGTTGAGAGAGAAACGGCGAGTCGGAATAATTTTAAAGGAGACGTGCCACTAACTTTACCGGCAAAGTTTGTCCAGCTCCATTGTCCTCTTGGTTATTGTCTACACGCGCATTTGTTCATTATTGAAACCACTTTTAACTTTTACCATTAATTAAAAGAGAATAAGAAAAATAAAACTACTTATTTAAGAAAATATTTGGCTAAGCTTATGTACACTCATTTTAATTTATATAAGTATTTTTTATTTTATTTAGGTATTTAACAAATATTAGAAGTATTAACATTGAGAATAATGTTACAACACTCGTCTACTTATTTTCTATTCCAATTCTCGACCTCGAAACTTTTTTAGCTAGGGTCATGTCCCATTAAGCTAAAGTTGTGATGCAGCTTGTCATGTCTAATCATCGCGTCTGAGTTCTTCTTCGGCTTATCTCTACCTTTCTTAACTCCTGTTACAATCAAGATCTCACACCTTTTTACTGGTACAGTAAGCTAAAGTTATGTGTGATGTGTCATATCTTTGCGCTTCAATTCTTCTTCAGTCTAAATCTACATCTCTTAACTATCGGTATAATCAACCTCTCACGTGCCCAAAACATCTTAGTTTCGTTTTTCTCATCTTATCCATTACAACCTTATCTTGCAAACTCTTTGTTCCTAGTCATCCCTCCTATTATACCCACAAATGCATATGAGCATCCTCATCTCTGCTACATTCAGCTTCTAGATGTGGACATTCATGACTAACAACATTTTGTCTCGTATAAGAACGTTGCTCTAATCACTGCTCAATATAACTTACCTTTTCTTTTATGCGGTTGCATTAGGGGTCATGTAGGATGGTTAAGCCCTGAAAAGAACTGATACTTTGGTTAGTCAACACATCTTCATATTGTCTTTGAGTCTTGACAACATAGTCTTATCGCATAGTGCCTCAGAGGTAAGTCTCCATTTTGCTCATCCTGCGCTAATATGATATGCCACATCATCATCAATCTCCCAATTTCCTAATCATCATTTCGTTCATCCTACGTTAATAGGATATACAACATCATCATCAATCCACCCATTTCCTACGCTTGAGTTTTTTTTTTTTTGTATTTTAAGTAAGAATTTCGATTCATATATTTTTCTTCAAAAGTTCTAAGCTAAAGATTGATGAATAGTCCAAAAGGCGACTATTGTCAATTCCTCCTCCCTATTAGAATATGTAATCGTTGTAACATTCAGAATAATCTATTCGAGAAAATTTGACAAAAGTAATCTCTTGGGTTTGGAGAAAGTTCACAATCTTCAAAATATACTTACGAGTCGTTGTAATTCTTTAAATTTGTAACAAATAAACAATCTTGATCTAAGTCAATTATGTAACAAGCTATAACGGTTAACTTTCACGAGACTTATGGAACAATGTAACTAAAAACACATAAAATTTTCGTCAAATTTCAAAAAATGCAATATCACAAAAAGCTATAACATACCTCAAAACTAGAAAATAGAAACAAAAATTACTGCAGCAGATTCCAGAAATAGATTAACAAACAATGCAAATCCTTTCCATTAAATATGTAATATTATGTGAGTTTAACACACTTTTCTCAAGATACTGTTTAATAATATAGCCCCATTTAATGTTTAGGACTTTTTCCCTTTTCACTATTTATAAATCTAGCCAGATTTGGTGCATGAACTACATAAACTAAATTATTTTATCCTATCCCTATTATTATTATTATTGAAATATACAAAAACGAAACTACAAAAGCAAGAGACAAACGATGTTACTTTTATCTCATTTCACTAGTTTTAAAAAAAAAAAACCATTTTATTGTCTTTCTATTCTAGCCATTCATTTTTCTTTTGGCCCTCAAGACAATGGAATCTTTGTTTTTCCAAACCATTCATCTTATAAATTATTGTGTAAATTATATATATATATATTACGAGTCGAGAATTTATGAGAATCAATTTTTCTATTCTATAAAATAAAGATAATGCATGTGCTAATATTTTATTCTAACCAAATCTCATCTAAGGGATTAGATTAAATTTATTGTTATTGTATTCATTATGAATTAGTAAGTTACGTATTTGATCAGACTCAATATCTTTAGTTAAATTTATGTATTATTTAAGATTTTTCAAGAAAAAAATCGAATCATAAGCTGCAAATTTTGGTCCACTTAGGATGATTGTGTACCATATACATTGGGGCAAATGAGTAAATAAGCAAAAAAAGGAAAAAGAAAAAGAGAAAAAAAACAAGTAAAAGTAGAGAGCGGCAAGGCGGCAACACCGCGAATCGCGAAAACCCGGCACTCGACGGCGCAGCGGAGAAGAGAGCATTCTCTTCAGCTGCTACTACTCATATGCTCTTCAATCGGAGAAGTTAGTAGTAGTAGATTTCGGTTACAGAGCTCGCCGGTGATTTTGAGAAAGAGAAAGCAACACTAAGTTCGAAGATGTCAGACCTAGATAGGCAAATTGAGCAGCTCAAGAGATGCGAGCCGTTAAAGGAATCTGAAGTTAAGGCTCTTTGTCTGAAAGCTATGGAAATCCTTGTTGAAGAAAGCAATGTGCAGAGAGTCGACGCGCCTGTCACTGTAAGTCGAATTAAAAACCCTACGTTGAAGTTGATATAGGAAGGCGAAGATAGATTTTGACTTGGTTCGATATACTGAGCTGATGTTTGAGTTTACTTGTGAAATGAGGGAATTGATGTATTTATTCTCTCAATTTTTTTTGCTGGATTCAGTCTAGGTTAACTCGTAGTCCAATTAAAACATTACGTGGGCGTGATATAGGAGGTTGGAACCGGGATTTTGACTTGCGTCAATATACTGTAGCGTAAATACTGAGCAGAAGTGTGAGTATACTTTGCCAAATGGGGAATTGATGAATTTATCCTCTCAATTGTTTTGCTGGATTCAGTCTAGGTTAAGTGTTGGTGAGGTAGAGTTTTTATCTGGCAGTGTTCCAGCTTTTCAGGACTCAATTCGTCATGAAAGTGATTTCTTGTCAAACGACTTGATAGTTAGAGTCGTTACTTGTTTATGCTTGATTTTAGCGATACTGCAAACAATTAAGGGGAAAGTAGTTTGGACATCTGGATGTTTTTTTTTTTGATAAGTAAGTGGTATTAATAGCAGCATCAAGAAGATGCTAGAATTACAAGATATGGCGTTTGGATGCCCTTTTTTTGATTTGATAGGTTTGAGGAATTGGAATTTTTTGTATGGATTTTTACTTTGTTGTTCTGCTGGTTATGTTTGATTTAGAGGTCCCTCTTGGGGATGGACATGTTATTTGCATTTGTCGAAACTCAAAAGTTCAGAGAATTAATGCAAACAATTAAGGAAAGTAGTTTGGACATTTTGATTTTTTTTTTCAGTTTCAAAAAAAATGTGTAGAACATATCTAGATTAGTTTTATATGTCTAGGTTAATTGTATATAATATTTTAAAATATTGTGACATAATTAGAGAAATCACGTTTATTAGGAAGGTATCTTAAAGTTCCAGGGGCACAATTCTGTATAAGGAGCTCCATTATATGTTGTTCAGCACTCGGTTCAATAAGAATCTGACCTACCATCTACTATCATCTCTAGTAGAGTTAATATTCATGTTTATTTGTCGTTACTGTTTTGTCAGCATCATACCTTCTTTCAGGCTACTGTTTCATTGACGTCACATCATTTTTGTATCTATCATTGGTGTTTCCTCAGTCTACCTAATTATGAAATCAGGAGTTTGTGTCATTAAGATGAAGACAACAAAACACCTCATTCTTAATAGTCCGTTTTTGGTGCACTCAGATGTGAAAATAGAAAGTTCAATTTCATTGGTGCATCTGTAGCTCACGACCTCATGTCTCATGCATCAACAGTTGTCTAGGATTGGTGACACTAATCAGTTAAACCTGTCTGTTGAGGGCTGATATTATTATTCCACGTCAGCTGAACTTGTCGAGCCAGTAGTCCATCTCGCCAAGTCAATGCTTCACATGTCATTGCCCAAGCGGTGCCATGTTATTATTGCCTAGTTAACTCTGTGGATTGTAATGATATGGTCCAATATAGTATTTTGTTTTGTCAGCGATTTGATTAAGCTGGCTGCACGATATTTCATGTTTAGCCATGACTCTTGTCTTCATGGTGGCATCACGATCCAGTTAATAAATTTCAGGATAATGCAAATTCAATTTTACTTTCACCTTCACAATTTTGGTGACAATATTCAAATGAATGTTGTGCAACAATAACTTTCTTGTTGTATTTGACTTGGCTTTCCAGTCTTGAGTTGCAAACGCGAGTTGCTTCATCATCTTGAATTTGAAGGTGAAAGTTAAGAGACTTAGTAAGAATGTGTCCTGGGTTATTTTATATGTTTAGGTTAGTTGTATAAAACATCATCTTTTGATAAATGAAGTAATTTTTATTTTTTTTAACATTTAAATGAAGTTATTTTTATTAATATGATCAAGAGGGTGTTAGCTTTACATAAATATATTACAGGTAATTGTATAGAATGTTAATAGAATATTCTTGTTCTTTTTGTTAGCAATCTTGAAGATTATGAAGGTTTCGTTGTTTCATGTAGTCTAAACACTCTTTTTTTGGGATGAAGTATAGCATATTACCTATTAATACGGTCATTTTATTAATGATTGTGCTTAGATGATCTTGAAAATTAAGAAAGTATCTCTATTTCCTGTGACCTAAACAACAACACTCCCCCCCCCCCCCCCCCCCCCCCCCCGAGACTTTAAGTATAGCCTAAACTTGTCACGAGCTCTTACATATGTGGTGCAACACTTGAATCTATATGAGCTCCTATTTTCACTGAAATTGCTTCTTTATATATATTATGCAGTACTAGTTGAGGTTGGAACAATGTTAATATGATAAGTGGTTTTCCTTTTGGGAGTTGGAGGTTATTCATGAGAGTTTCCTGATAAGATACTATTCCACTTTTTGTTAATTAGCTGTTTGTTCCAGAGAAAATTCAATTAGCATATATATTATTCTGCCCAGTGAATGATATATCTGCCAGCAGTTTGTGATGTAGAAGTATTAGTCATTTCTCTTGTCATGGCACCAACTGGCTTGGGATTCCACAACTAGCTCTGAGTTGAGGCT